TCGGACACAAACCTTTCTCTTCCCCGTGTCTAAAACGCCGTGAAGCATCAGCTCTAGAATTAGCTCTTCACTATGCAAACAGAAAAACCTTCAGCTGGTTACAAAGGGGGGGGGGTGTATGCCTGGGTTCCTTGGTGTTTACTGTCAGACTGTTTAAAACAAATCTAGATGTTGCTACACTTTTTTTTCCGATAATGCTTTAAATCGTTGTGCTTTCGTGTTCTCCTCAGCTCGCCAGCGGAGCACCGGGGCGGTAAAAGACTACGGTCATTTTGGGTCTCAGCTGAACCACCGTGGCTTCATCCGAATGTTTTTAAAAAGCGATGGAAGTTGCTGAAGGACCGTTGACTTGCATGTGTAAAATGTGTGGGTAAAATGACATGCAGGCGTCTGTCATGTTGTGGCTTCTGTCATTTGGAACAGAGTAAATCCTGCTTGTGAAAAAAGTTGTCACAAACCAGAAATACGCCAACCGCGTACAAATAACGTGTACATTTTAACAGCAGCGAGGACTTGAACTGCAGGACAAAGGCCGAGGTTAAAACAGAATAAAACCAGGTTCTGACAGTGAACTACCTGTTTCCGCTGAAGTTGCTGCGCTTGGAAACAAGCAGGATCCTACTGGTGCCTGTCCCGAACGGGGTTGCGGTTGCCCCTGGCTGAGTGAGGTTGTTCAGTAAATTTTGCCGGGGGGGGTGAGGGAGAGAAGAGGTGAAGGTGAGTATACTGACGTATTTTTCCTGTAGGTAAGCAGCCAGTGGGAAGTGAGCATCCTCCATCGCTCCCCATCACTTGTCCCAACCCCTCCGGTGGCACCGACGCAGCTGGTTTTTAGGGGAGCCAGACAGGGCGACGGATTTGGGGTTTTAATAACTCTTTTTGTGCCCAGCTCGGCTCCCCGAGCACGCTCGGGTCCGGCTGGTCAGGCACGTACCTGCGGCGGGCTGGGGCTCCGCGCTCGGGGCTGCCGCGAGCAGCGCTGGCAGCACTGCCGCGGCCTGAGACGGGTTTTTCCGAGCG